CCATCACATCGAATAACTTTTTCTCTATTAGTAAATACATCTTAATGGAGTGTTGGTGCTAGTATCATATTATAAGAAAATTTTGTTAATGTATTAAGGTAATAGAATATACAATTAAGTTAGCGTTAATATTAGTGTTTGTCTCCATACTTGCGTACTAGATTTTCTCAGTCAATGTAACATATCATCATGCCTACTACCAGTGCCTTTGATGAGAATTTCATCAGTAAGGTGGAATGGGCATGATGCCGTTGATTTTTAACTAGAGTCCTTGTAGGTAAACTCATTAGTAAGGTGGTGCAATCATGAGGGTAGGAGATATCCATGGTTGTTAACCAACGTCTTTAATGAGTTTACTCTACTGTAAGATAGTTAGATCATGTGGGTCTTTGTGTAATAGATGCACTCAGATATATTTTTACTCATTTCTGTATCCTGGAAAGTTTTAAGCACTGCCAGGTCTTTACTTATCGTTAATAAATCGGGTCTCATCCTCGCCACACACCGCCCTGGTTCAACCAAAAAAAGAAAATAAAAAATTACATAATTAGTGTAGTATCATTCTTATAATTATTATGGTTATTGCTTAAACTAGAGCGTTATTTTTTGATTTTTAAAAGAAAATGTGACTCAAATTGGATTTGGCATATTCTTACTTAGCCCAAAACATAATTAGAAGAAAAAAGGACAATTAGTTGAAAATAAAATATAATTAGTAAATTAAAATTTAAAATATTAATTAATTTAATTATTATACTATTGATTTAGAGTGGGACCTGTGGAGGCCGTGGTCCCGTGGCCCCTACTCTAAATCCACTAGTGATCATTATCATTTGTAATAATAAAATTTGATCTAAAATTTTTGTTTTTAAAAGATATTTTTATTGAATAATACCAAGTAATATGAGATTATTTTAAATTTCGTTTAAAAAAATAAATTAGAAAGTTTCTAATAATTTTTTACCGAGTGCGAAATTAACCAACTAAAATTTTTTATTTAATAAATTTTTAAAACTCATAAGAAAAATAAAGAGGGAGGGGGCACGGCCACACTGGATGACAACCCTCTTGGCTTGGCCCTTAATCAATATATCTTATTAATACAGAAGTTAAAAAGGAAAAAAGTGATAAGGTGTCTTCAGAATAAAAATATGTCATTTTTGCTAAAAACAAAATTTATATATTATTATTATTAAAACAACTTTTAAGAGAAAGTAAAAGAAAATACGCATCATACTATAATTAAAAGTTTTATTTCCTAAAACATATCAAGTCGATAAATACGAAGTTTTGATTAAAAAACTCTAACTAAATACATTAAGAATTAGCTTTTACTAAAATAATTATTTAAGATAATAATTTAATAATTTATATGCGCTCCCATATGACCTTTCTTCACCACTAAGAAATATAACTGTAATCTCACCGTTTATATTGGAAAAGAATATTGAAACTTTACGGGTAAAATTATTAAAAAAAATCTCAAAATAAAAAGTTTTCATTATATTCAAATTCATTGTGTCTAATGTTAATCATATTCAAACAATTGCCAGAGAGAGAATGATATTTGAGTCATTACGTAGTTAAAAATTTTACATCTAAGTAAACTTAATAATGTATTTTAACACACACACACATATATATATAGTATTTTAGAGGAGCTCTCCTTCTTTCCAGTTCCATATCCAGAAGTTCTCAGAAAGATGAAGGTTATCAGTGTGTTTTTGTTGGCTGTTTTGGGAGGCAACACCTCTCCTTCCGCCGAGAACATCAAGGGCATTCTTGCTTCAGTTGGAGCTGACGCTGAAGACGACAAGATTGAGCTTCTGTTGTCTCGGGTCGCAGGGAAAGATATCAGTGAATTGATTGCATTTGGTAGAGAGAGAGATTGGCTTCAGTTCCTTCTGGTGGTGGCGCTGCTGTCCCAGTTTCTACAGGAGGTACTGCTTCTGCCCCTGCTGCTGAGGCAAAGAAAGAATAGAAAGTAGAAGAGAAAGATGAATCTGATGATGATTTGGGCTTCAGTCTCTTTAATTAAGGACATGCTTGCTAGCTAAGTTTAGAAGTTCATCCACTTTTGTTTCTATCTAGATTAGTAAGGAACCTTGAATTTTGGGTAAGAGTTGAGATACCATTCTCGTCAAGAAAGACTTCACTTTTTATCCAGCCATGGATCATGATTTTGGCTAATATTATAGTCTTTATATATTATATATATATATACATATATTGCATTTTAGGAAATCCACGGGTACTTAATGGGAAGATCCCGATTTTATGCATTTGAACAAAAAAGAAATACAAAGAAAAGTACTTAAGACTTACCCAATCAAAAGAGACCGTCTTATAAGAGTTTGTCTAAAACTCCATGACGACTCTTAACAATCTATAGTTACAAGTTTTCGCTGAATGCGGTAACATGGGTATAGCTACAAGTTTTGAAGCGGAACTCGCTGGAATACTTCATGGACTCAAGGCTTGTGAAGAAAGAGGATTTCATCAAGTGATTATCCAAACAGATAATGTCAGTATTGCTTTTTTGTTAAAACATGGTAAAAACTTCCCCCGGAAGCAATACATGACTCTCAAGGGAGTTCAGGAGAAGATGATCACTACACATTCGATAATAGTTCACATTTATCGCGAGATCAATAGTGTCGCGGATGACCTAGCAAGGAAAGGCTCAAATAGAAACACACTGCAATATTAGTAAGAGGTAAGTTATATTTAGATCGGAATAATTTTTCTTATTTAAGAGTTAAATAAATTTTTTTTGCATAGAGTAAAAAAATAAAGATGTCATGAGATTTATGTTGTAAATCTTTGTAAGACATTCTCTTAGTTTTATCTTTCGTTTTTTTAAATATAATGAACTGTCAGGGGATAGTTTCTAGAACTATCTTTGTAAGTCAGTTCATAGATATACTTTGTTAGAGAACCGTCGTGGGGTTATTAGAGATTCTATAAGATGGTCTCTTTTGAATTGGGTAAGTCTTAAACACCGCCTTTTGTAATTTTTTCTTCTTATCAATAAAATCGGAGATGCCTGCCAGGTACCATCCTGGTTCTCTTAAAAAAAAAAGAAAAATCTACACTTATAAACTGTCTTACAAAGATTTTTGCTACATTCCATGATAACTCTTTTGAACAATGTATAAAATAACTAAGAACTTGTCTTACAAAGATTTAAATATAAATCCCATAATAACTCTACTTATTTTATTCTATTTTAAAACAAAACTATAAATCCCATGACGACTCCACTTATTCTACTCTATTTTAAAGAAAACTATCTAATCCTTAAATAAAGAAAAGAATGTTTGTCTAAGTACAACTTTCCTTTCATTGAGGATGGAAGAGATACATGTGAGTTAGATTGCATTGTGATCCTAGTAGAAGCTTGTTTTGCTAACTCATTCGCTACACAATTCACTTCTCGATAAATGTGAACAACCTTTGAATTTAATAGATTTAGCATCTTTTGGATTTTGTTGAAAAATGCATGACAATGACAAGGGAAGATTATACCTATTTTTGAAGGAAATTGACAATTATTTTTTTGTTTGTTTGAACTATCAATCTGCTGATCCTTTTTTCTTCACAAACTTTGGGGCAGTTGTAAATTCCTGCTAACTCGTCTTTGAGACCCGATGCAACTCCCATATATTTGCATTCAGCTCTTATGAAGACACCATTCTTCCATCGTATCACATACCCCCATCCCGCTTATCCGGATTTCCTAATGCTGAGTCGTCGGTATTCAACACAGTTTCACCTTTGTACGGAGGCTTCCATCTCAATGCAATTGCATTTCTATTTTTTAATCGCAACACCTTGGCATTGTATATTCCCTCTTCTTTTTGTTTTAACATATTCGTGCAACGCACGGGAAAAATCTAGTAGGTTTTATAAACTATGAGTGACAATGCATTATGAATTAAATTGTAGTTAATAGTTAATAGATAGTATTTGCTCTCCGTGGCTATTTTTTTTCTTCAACTCTTCACATTTCTTCACATATTGACAATGCTTAATTCGAATATTATTGAAGGATGATACCATAAAATTATGAAAATTCAATAAATGTTGTTTAATATAAAGAATACTTATTCTCTGCGACAAAATTGATATAAGCACCTAAACTGATTTTTCACTTAGTATAAATTTGTTATTTTTAAATAGGATAAATGTAATGATACAGAAGCCTAAATATGAATTATGAGTCTATGTTTTATTTATTTTGTGCTACTTTTATTATTTACTTAATTATTAGTATATCCCATAGGTAGATAGTTATTTCCTACGGTTGTTGTTTAGAGTCAACTCTTCACATTTCTTCACATATTGACAATGCTTAATTCAAATATTATGGAAGGATGACACCATAAAATTATGAAAATTCAATAAATGTTGTTTAATATAAAGAATATCTCTGCGACAAAATTGAGATAAGCCACCTAAACTGATTTTTCACTTAGTATAAATTTGTTATTTTTAAATAGGATAACTATAATGATACAGAAGCCTAAATATGAATTATGAGTCTATGTTTTATTTATTTTGTGCTAGTTTTATTTATTTTGTGCTAGTTTTATTATTTACTTAATTATTAGTATATCCCATAGGTAGATAGTTATTTCCGGTTGTTGTTTAGAGACAGGTTTAGGAGAAAACTCTGTAGTAGTAGTTATTATTAGAGTCATGTGATAACTTCCCTATCTTTAGGTTGTTGAAGTTTATTTATATCTTTGTCTTGTTAATTTAAGGAAAGAAGAAGAAATTAATGAAAAATGACTTTTTAATCAGAATTCTGCTTCTCTTTATATTCTGGAGTTTGATGCGATTCGAATAAGATCATTACATTGGTACTTTCTTTGAGAGAATTTTTTTTCTTTGAGAGAGAGTTATTCCATGGCTGACTTCTTTGTTGATCTATCTCAAGGACTCAGAGATATTAAATCTGAACTTGGAAAACAAACAAAATACTATGAGAAAGCAATTCAGCTACTTGAGACCCGACTAGCCGCACAATCAACCACCACTTCCCCACAAGTGACACCACCATCAGCCTCCATCACCGTACTGTCATCACTGTCACTTCCTTCCATCACGATGACCACACCGCCTTCCCCGATACCACCACCAAAGTCTACCTCTTGCACCTTCATTTCACAACCGACACTTACCAAAACTCCAACCATTTCACTAGCAACACCAACACCCATCAACACAACCACACCATCGTTGGCAACCAAAATTCTCATGGCACCACCAACTACTACCCTTGCCACTGCTGCAACACCCACGCAACCACAAACAAACCCCATCCACAAACCAATTTCACCACCAAAGCCCAACCACATCATTCCACCAATTTCTAACACCATCAAAAACCAAATCTCTCTACCAATATCCAGATCTCCCAACTGCCTAAGTGCACCAAAAATCCCCTTCTCAAACACAAAATCAACCGTAACTCCAATAACGACCACACAAACTTTCAGTAAATCAACATCAAAGCCAACAACCAACCCCATTTTCAAATTTTGTCCTCCTCCAACGTTCCCATATGAACGAGGCTCGTCCAACTCCATCCAGCAATCAACAGCATTAAAAGTAATTATATACAAATCTCGCAAGAGATTTCAATCAAGAGGCATGGTCTATTCTCAAATGGGAACTCAACAGCAACAAGCTACTTTGGAGATCTCGCCGCAATTTCATGATGCCTACACACCTCGTCAACAAATTGGTTCATTCGTTTGCAAATTGGATATCAACACGACATCTAGAGTCCACCCCATCTTTTTTTGTTTTGGTAAAAACTGTAAATTTTCATATAAATGATAATCTGGAAGCACAAGGTCCTACCAAAAATCTATATGTACAACAAAAAAGAGAACCACCCCATTTGATCACTCAAGATTGCATCAAACTGTGAAGGATTAGGCGTTCCGCTTCTATCAGCTTGTTGCCTTTCCACTGTCGGACCTTGATTCTTATCACTTCTTGAAGTTCTGTGAAGATGGCTACCACATTTTGCTTTTGATCCCTGAAGATTCTACAGTTTCTTTCCTCCCAAATGCTATACAAACAGGCCACCAGTGAAGCATACATAATGCATTTTCTGAGCCTAGTCTTCTTCCAGGTATGCAGTACCTCCTTTTTCCATCTCCTCATGTTAGTGGCTAAGTTCCGAATCCCCAACCAGTTCTTCATTTTGCCAATCAACTCACTGGAAAAGGGGCACAGGAAAAACAAGTGTTCAATAGTCTCCTTCTGCCCTGTACATAAGCAACAATTTTCATCTTGAACAGAGATATTGTACTGCATTAATCTATCCCTGGTCCACAGTTTCCCTTTCCAAATCAGCCAAGCTGTGAATACATGCTTAGGCACATTCATCCTTGACCAAATCACTGCTGCTTCAGGCATATTCTGTCCTTCTCCCTGCAGCCATTTATACCCTGAGTGTACAGTATATACACCTTTCCTATTCCCCATCCATTTCCTATCTATAAAGCCCTCTCTTGCTTTATCTCGTATTTTGAGGATTTGCTTCCACGACCAACTGTTATCAGGCTTAGCTTGTATCTCCCAGAAGTTAGTCTTTTCCAAGTATATTTCATGAGTCCACTTCAACGATAGGCTATCTTTTCCACTTGCTAACCACCACACCTGTTTGAGAATTGCTGCTTCATTCCAAACCCTAGCATCCCTGATGCTCAATCCTCCCTCTGATTTGCTTCTACTCACAGTATCCCATCCTACCATGGCATGATATCTACCAGATTCCTTAACTCCACATAGGAATTTTCTACGGTTGACAGTTTCAGTAATGCTGCGTGAAAGTATAAAAGCTGACGACCAGTAGACATGCATACTCATTAGTACCGAATTGATTAATTGTATTCTCCTTGCATAAGATAGGTGGTGTGAACTCCAACATTTCAGCCTCTTAGTTATTCGATCCACCAATACTTGGCATTCCATTTGACTCCATTTTTTGGGAGATAGAGGGACTCCTAGATACTTCATTGGAAATTGGCCTTCCCTAAAACCCGTAATATTGCATATCTCTTGTCTGACTGTTTTTTCTATCCCCCCATATAGATTTGACTTTAAGGGATTGGCTTTTAGACTAGAGACACTAGAGAACTCAGCTAAGGCATTCTGTATGTACTTTACAGTCACCAAATCAGCCACGCTGAATATCATCAGGTCGTCGGCAAAACAAATGTTGGATAATCTAAGAGTTTTGCATAGAGGGTGGAATTGGAATCCAAGTAGAGCAGCAACTTCTCTTAAGAGTCTAGTCAGGTATTCCATCAAGAGGACGAACAAGAGAGGTGAGATAGGGTCTCCTTGTCTCAAACCTCTCTGTTCTTTAAAGAATCCTACATGTGAACCATTTATACTGAGGGAAAAGGTGGTTGTTTTAACGCACTCCATAATCCACTCAGTAAATTGCGTAGGAAAACCATTTCCTAGTAGACGTTCTTCTAGAAACCCCCATTCAACACAGTCATACGCTTTCTGTAAATCGATCTTTAGCATACATCTCCCACTAATCCCTTTCCTTCGATATAGTCTAATCAACTCTTGAGTGATCAAAATGTTGTTTAAAATTAATCTACCTCCAACAAAAGCCCCCTGATTACTATCTACCAAAACTTGTATAACACTACTTTTAATCTATAACACTTTAGAAATGATCTTATAAAGCACTTTACAGCATGCTATTGGTCTATATTGCCCTGCATTATAAGCATTTTCATTTTTCGGAATTAAAGCAAGAACAGTGGAGTTTAGTTGTTTAAGTAACATACCATTTTCGAAGAATTCAAGCACTGCATTTGTTATTTCTTCCCCAGTGATCTTCCAGGTAGCTTTGAAGAAGTCGCTCCCGTATCCATCAGGGCCAGGGCTTTTTGTGCTATTGATGCTCCATAGTGCTTTTTTGACTTCTTCTCTGGTGCATGGTATGATCAGTTGCATTTGCTGCTCCAATGAGAGTCTAGGTCCCAGTTCAAATACTTCCCTCACAGATTCTCTTGAAGCTTTCTGTCCCAGCTGGTTTTGAAAGTAATTCAGGAAGTGTTCTTCCACCAGCTTCCACTCTCGTACAATTTCTCCTTCTTCACTGGTTATCGACCATATTCGATTCCTCATCATTTGCTGTTTAAGCTTGGAATGAAAAAATTGGCTGTTGGTGTCCCCATCTTTAATCCAGTCTTCCTTCACTTTTTGCCTCATGAAGCTATCAAATGCTACATATTTGCTAATGTAGCATTGATAGGCTTCTCTTTCCACTAGGTGCAACTGTTCCTCATCAGGGTTTAATGCAGCCTGCTTCTGTACTTTTTCAAGTGCCATTCGGGCTTCCTGCACTTGTACTTGGATGCTAGAGAATTTGTTCTTGTTCAGCATGAGCAGCTCTTTCTTCAATATTTTCAATTTTTGCACAACCTGAAACATTTTTGTCCTCCTGATTCTTTTATTCCATATTCCTTCAACTTTTTCCAGAAAGGTGGAATCCATTTTCCACATGTTGAAGTATTTGAAAGGCTTCTTCTTATACTGCATCTCCAGTTCCATCTGTACAAGTAACGAGGCATGATCCGAGATCCCAGCTTGTAGCACTGTACATATAGAATGGTTGAATTGGTCAACCCACAGTCCATTGACTAAAATCCTATCCAATTTAGCATATATACGATCGTTTCCCAGTTGCTTGTTGCACCAGGTGAATAGGCTACCTTGCTGTCTCAAATCCTGCAACCCACTGGCATCTAGGCATAAGCTGAATGCTTCAGTTTCCATGAATGTCACCTTTCTGTCCTCCTAGTTTCTCCTCTTGCTTTAAAACGTTGTTAAAGTCTCCACATACAATCCATGCCATATTGGCTGACTGACTGATGGATTCAAGTTTCTCCCATAACTTCACTCTTTCCTTCTCTTCATTGCTTGCATATACACCTGTTAAAAGGTATTCCCATCTAGTTCTTCTATCTCCCACATGACAGTGTATTAGTTGATTGGTATAGTCCAGGGCTTGTAGTTCCACAGTCTTATCCCATAAGACCATCATTCTACTCTTTTTGTTTTGCTCTCCAGTTAGTACTACTTCCTACTGCTGGTTCATGCTTGTAGTTACCTTTTCTTGCTTCATCTTGATTTCCACGACACATGCTATGTTAACCTTGTTTGCAGCAAGGACTCCTTCTGTTTAATTGGGGCATTGAGTCCACCCCATCTTTGAAGCCTCCTTGTTTAGGCCATCATGGCAATCTTCCGGTTTCTCCATTGATTCCACCTGAGATTGAAAAACATGACCGCATTTTTAGTAAATTGGAGACAATTCAGTACGTCAGATTGAGTTTCAATACAAGGGAGGAGATTATCACAAATCAAATTCGCAGCTGCCCTTCTAGTTTTGAAAATGCAAATTCACTAGAAGTTAACTCAACTATCTGTTGTTCAGATCACATGGACCAGATTTATGTGGGCTTTGAGGACAAAGCCCAATGTGAAGAGGAGAGTAATGTAATGACACCGACGCCTAAATATATGAAGTTTATGAGTCTATGTTTTATTTATTTTGTGCTACTTTTATTATTTAATTAATTATTAGTATATCCCATAGGATAGATAGTTATTTCCTATTGTTGTTGTTTAGAGTTAGGTTTAGGAGATAACTTTGTAGTGGTAGTTATTATTAGAGTCATGTGTTAGTGGGAGATAACTTCCCTATCTTTAGGTTGTTGAAAGCTATTTATATCTTTGTATTGTTAATTTAAGGGAAGAAGAACAGATTAATGAAAAATGAATTTTTAGTCAGAACTCAGCCTCCCTCCATATTCTGGAGTTTGATCCGACTCGAATAGAATCATTACAACAACTCACTTTTAGTCACTAAAGTTTGGCTTAATTACAAACTAAGTAGTGACAAAAAACTAAGAGGCAATCTTAATAAGAAGTAAAACTTTATGCACTTGGTGGTGTTTTTAATAACAAAAAAATAATTAACATAATATTATACTAAAATACAACTCTTTTTACTAAATTGTAACGATTTAACTCCAAAGTTTTAGAGAAAATGTAATTGTTACCCAAAGTATAGTACTATAACAAAAAGTTCCTCAATTTTAGTCAAACTTTTCTTTTCTTTTACAGTATTTTTTTACTCGTTATTCCCTTAATTATTGTTTTATTTTTAGGGAATTGAATGACAGCCTAGCGGTTAGGTTGCTGTTCTTCCCGGTAATAGACCAGGGTTCGATTCCCACTAGGGGTTGTAAAGGGGGAGGAGGGGTTTTACCCACATTTAAGTGAGGTCCACTAGGGTGGATTTTTTTAATAAAAAAATATTATTTTATTTTTAGGGCACCTTTTTCTTTAATCTATATTTGCATAATCATTTTAATTATTTTTAATTAATTTCACTTATTTCTACTTAAACTGGAATTTCCAAGATTTATTTATTTGTTATTTGTTATTAGTAAGATTTTAAATATTTTTAACACTACCCTCTAGTCTAAGTTCGGTTTCTTAAATTTAAATTTCATACTTTTAACATTTGTTTTTGTTAAAATGTAAATATATTCATGATTCATCTTAAACTATGCGTATTTACAACCAAACTCTATTGCATATTTCCCTACCTCCACTATATTCTATACATTAAACAAGTGTGCCAAAATTTCTATTTCAGTCTGTGTTTTCCTGCCTTCTAAACGAGCCTCCATCCTCCACTAAACTAACTGTTTAATACAATTCAAACATCCACTGATCTCTGTTTCCTTGCAAATATGTGTGCATTCCTTTCTTCCCAAAGGTAATAAACTACTACTCCCATTGTGGCACAGAGTATGCCTCTCTTTACTTTAGCTTAGGTTACTAGCATTCTTTCTCTCCACTCCCTCTTATTAGTAGGGACTTTACGTATTGCCAACCACGAATAAACAACATGCATTACTGATTCAACAAATTTATATGCGGAAAACAAATGGTCTGAAATTTCCCTGTACTGCTGACATAAACCACACATAGAATCTCCTTGGAGCAAATGCAGTTTTTCTAACCTGTCTCTTGTTAGGAGCCTATCTTTCCAAAAAAACCAGATTATAAAACTATGTTTAGGGACAGTGAACTTGGACCAGATAAAATTCGCAGCATGTAATTTAGGAGTTTCCCCCATTACCCACACATAGCAGGATGATACAGTGAACTTATTTGAGCCTGTGTGTTTCCACCTGTTTCCGACAACTTCAGTTTTCATCTTATCCTTTAATGACAGGATCTTCTTCCATTGCCAACTAGATCCTTGCATAGGTGCCAAATTCCAAAAGTTTTTCTTTTTTTATGTATCTTTCATGTATCCATTTCACCCACATATTGTCTTTCCTTCATTGCTATTTGCCACACCTGTTTCATTATAGCAGCTTCATTCCAAGTCTTAGCATCTCTAATACTCAGCCCCCTTCATTTTTGGTTATACATACTTGTTCCCAGCTGACTAGTGAGATTCCTCTTCCCGTTTCTTTGATCCCCCACAAGAAGGTTCTATTGATCCTGTTGATTTGTTTTTTCAGAGCCTGGGGTAGTATGAAAGCTTGTGCCCAGTAATTTTTGATAACCAGCAGAACTGTGTTGATCAACTGTACCCTGCAACTATAACTCAAGTGTTTAGAGCTCCAACATTTGATTTTTGCTGTCATCTTTTGGATGAGTACCTCACATTCCAATTGCATCCATTTCCTGAGAGATAGCGGAACTCCTAAGTATTTGACAGGAAACTTGCCAGCCCTAAAGCCAGTGATCCCACAAATTTTCTCCTTCATTGCTTCATCCACTCCCCCAAAATATACATATGACTTTGCTGGGTTAGCCACCAAACCAGTACAAGCTGAAAACTTCTGAATGACCTCCATAATTTTTGTCACTATATACTCATATGCTTTCCAGAAGATCATAAGATTGTCTGCAAAAAATATATTAGTAATTTTCAAAGACTTACACTGTGGGTGAAACTGGAATTTTTTATCCTCTGCTGCTTCCTGCATCAACCTCGTCAGATAATCCATGATTAATACAAAAATTAGTGGCGACTTCATTGGGTCCCCTTGTCTCAGGCTTCTCCTCCCGGGGAAGTAATCACCATTCATATTGATTGAGAATGAAGTTGTGATACACTCCATCACTTTCCTGGAAAAAGATACCGGGAATCCATATACCACCAATATCTCCTCTAAAAAGTTCCATTTGACTGAGTCGTAAGCTTTCTTGAGATCAATTTTCATCATGCACCTGCCACTGATCCATGTTCTTTCGACCATAGAATCTCACCATCTCCTGTGTTAGCAGAATATTGTGCAGAATCAGTCTACTAGATACGAATGCACTCTGATTCTCATTCACCAACTCTGGAATTAGTTCTTTCAGTCTGCCACATATAATTTTCGAGATGCACTTGTATATCACGTTGCAGCATGCAATGGGGTGATACTCTTCTGCATTCTAGGGATTATCATTTTTTTGGTATCAACGTCAATAATGTTGCATTCACCTGTTTCGGTAGTCTGCCTGTTTCAAAAAATTTGAGTACAGCTTCTTCTACATCTTTCCTGATCAGGCTCCACGCCCCTTTATAGAATCTGCTGCCGTACCCATCTGGTCCGGGAACTTTCCCCACTATGGATATCCCACATGGCTTGCTTGATCTCTTGTGTTGTCACTGTCCTCAATAGTCTCATTTGCTGATCCCACCTTAGCACAGGCCCTTTCCTGAATATTCTTTGTTCAGCTTTTTGTCTCATACTTCCTTACTCTGTAAAATGTGACTTGATCTCCTTCGAATCAGTTACGAACACATCTTTTTCATTCCTGATTGAACATATTTTATTTTTCATGCTCTTGATCTTCAGCCTTACATGGAAGTATGCACTATTGGAATCCCCTCTCTTTATCCACATCTCTTTTGATTTTTGAAACAAGAAACTTTCAGCATCCCTACTAGCTTGCGTGAACTTCTGATGGTGTTCTCTTTCTTGGATTTGCAGCTCCTCATCTCCTGGCCTACTGCTTAACAATTTTGGGTTTGCAGTAGCTCATCTCTTGCTCTGTCTGCCTGTCTTGGATGTCAACATATTTCTCTCTGTTCAGTTTTTGTTTTTAAATAAATAAGTTCTGACAATTCCAAAAAAACTCAAGGATTATACCAAGAGGTATGTTTTGAGATAGCTAGTGTCAGATGGTATAAAGCACCCAAAAGGTATACCCAATGAATAGACTTGTACACCATCTAGTTCCCTAGCCTCATCCTTTCCTGTGCGGTTTTATTTTATTAAAAAAAGAAAAACCAAGGGCAGTGCATCAAACTAACCCCCGGTGATTACAAAAAGAGTAGATTTAGCTAACCATAGATAATACAATAACATAGGCCACTCAATAAGCTAGGTCTCTACCTAATGCGTACATAAAGTAAAGACCTTTGATCCAGAAACAATAATCCTCTAGGGACCGGAGGCAAAGACCTACAATCAGCATAAGTAATCGACAGCCATGAGGAGGCTTTTTTTGCCAAGCTATCTGCAACCGCATTTGTCTCTCAAAAAGTATGCGAGATAGGGTAGCTCCAAATACTCATTGTACTTCGAATCTCTTCCAAAATTAGTCGAAATCGCCATGGATAAGGTCTCCCATTGACCAAAATAGTAGCAAGAGCTTGATTATCCGTTTGAATTTCCACTCGCTCAAGTCCTCAAAACACACATTTCCTAAGTCCAAAGAGCAAGCCATAAGTTTCAGCCATAAAACTATCTCCATGACCTAGATAGCCAGATTCAGCATAGATGAAGTGACCACAATCATTCCTAACAACAAACCCATAGCCAGGATCATTATCTACACAAGATCCATCCGAATTAAGACAATAAGCACCAGAAGCCGGCTTTCTCCATGCTACAACCCTCGTCTTTCTCTTCACCTGACTCAAATGCAAGTTAAAAAACGAGTCTAACAAAACCTTCTCATCCAAATTTTTTGCCGGTGGTCGATGTATAAACAACATACCCTCTATACTAACCATGACCACCCTCTTGATAGCAAAGTTTGACATTTTAGACCCCTCAAGCAACTCCTTATTCCTAGATTTTCAAAGCTCCCAAATTATGAATGTTGGAAGAACTTTTTAAACAGATTTTGCCGTTGAGAAGCAGCAACTAGACCATAAGACAGATAAGAAATTCTCCACTAGCCCAGAAGGCAAGCCGATATCAAAGAGGCCCAAGAAGTGCTGCCAAATTGCCCTCATTTCTACACATTCGAGGAAGAAGTGATTTATACTATCCTCAGCTTTTTTAAATCGCAAACAAACAGATGGAAAACTGTGAAAACCCATTCGCGCTAGAGAACTGGGGAAAGGCAGCAAAGAATTGCAAAGCTTCCACATAAAGAAGGAGATCCGAATTGGTACCATTTTATGCCAATAATTCCGAAAGAAAATGTATTCAGGTTTCCGCTGCCTTATCGACTCAAACGCCGATTTGACAGAAAAATCTCCTGATGTGGTTGGCTTCCAAACAAAAATATCCTCTCCATCCATAAAGTTAACTTCATGATCATGAAGAAAAGCCACTGATTCAGCCGGAATATTCAAATGAATTTCATCTAAATAATGCTCCTTATGCTCAAAAAACTCTTGAATAATCAGATCTGGTAGAGGCGGCTTTTCCACTTGATTACCCCAAATAACTCCAAGGTCTAACCAATCATCATGCCAAAAGCTTCTATTACCACCCTTAATCAATACCTTAGCCAAAGAGGATGCTTCCAAGCTGACTTTTTCCACCCGAGTCCAAGAAGTCTTGCCTCACGCCGATGAAGACAATGATAGAATAAACTTCGACCATAGCCCTTGCTTCATTTTAATTTTCCACCAAAGCTTAATTGAAAAGGACTTGAGGATGTCGTCAAGCCTCCTCAGCCCTAATCCATTCTCGCAAGTTGCAAACGTAAGAGCCTCCCATGCGCGCCAGTGTCTCTTACTATTATCATCTTTTCCTTGCTACAGAAATTTTTGACACCGACGTTCTAATGCTGCAATTATTCCATTTGGAGGCTCGATAGCTGCGAAAACATGAAGAAGAATAGCCGACAATACATGCTTGATAAGGAGTAGACGACCACCCAGGCTTAACAATTTGTTCTTCCAACTAGATAATCTTCTGTCAAGCCAAGAAGAAATTGAAAAGTGGTAAATTTCTCTCTTCCCTTATACAACCGGTTACCAAGATAAATAAAAGAAAAAGATGCTTTTTGCATACCAAACACTTTGTGAATAACCTGACTTCTAAAGGCACTACACTTATCATCAACAAGAAACACACTCTTTTTGCCTATTAATCTTCTATCAAACTCAACAAAAAAATTATTCAAACCTTCCAATGACTTCTTCAACCCTCTAGTAAAAATCACAAGATCATCTACAAAGGCTAAATGAGATATTGACAAAGATCCTGCCGGTAGGCCATATCGGGCAATTTTGCGACTGTCCATGAGAAATTTCAATCGTCTTAACATGGCTTCTGACACGATAATAAATAAATAAGGAGAAAGGGGGTTTCCTTGCTTTATTCCTCTCGTGGATTGAAAAAAACAGCTGGACTACCATTTATCAAAACAAAAAACCAGCTTCCTGAAATATTTGCAAGAATCAAATTTATAAAAGCTATTGGAAAGCCAAAACGTTTAAGTACCTCTCGAAGAAAGCTCCATGAAACTCTATTGAAAGCCTTCATCATATCCACCTTTAAAATAACATTATTCCCCTCAGTCTTATGGTTGATGAATTGACAGAGATCCTGAGCTAACAAAACGTTATCTGTTATATCTCATCCAGATAAAAACGTGGATTGCACCTCCGAGATGAACTTAGATAACACCATCTTCAATCTTTCCGTGAGGACTTTAGTGAACACTTTATTGATAAAGTTGCACAGACTAATAGGTCGCAAGTCTGAAAAAGTTGTAACAAAAGCTTTCTTTGGTATCAACGTGATCAGAGTCCTACCAATGGCCCTAGGGATTGGAATACCGACAAAGAATTCTTCACATGCCGCCATCAAATCCAAGGAGACTATATCCCAACATTTTTTTTGTAAAAAAATACCTCCAAATCCATCCGAACCTGGAGCACTATCCTCATCCAAACCGTCAACAGCAGGTTTAACCTCTTCAAGTGTCAAAGCCCTCAAAAGAAGACCATGACCGACATCATCCAAGATACTCGGAATATGTTGAAGAAATTTCTCTTGACTCTCCAGATTATCAACCCCTCTCTCCTTAGACAGTAGCTCCCTAAAAAAGGAAATTGCTTGCGCCTTAATGCTTGGTCTATCACGCAACCACATTCCATTTTCCGATTGAATTTTATAAAGCCCAAGTCGCGCCTTTTTTTTTTTACTTAGAGATGCATGGAAAAAAGACGTATTCGAATCTCCATCCTTCAACCATTTCATTCGCATTTTTTTTGAGCCCAAAAATCCTCATGCTCTTTTAATTTGTGCAGCAACTGAGCACGAGCATGACTAAGTTAACCCAGTCATCATCCGCAGCCGAAGCATCATATTTAACCTCAAGAGAACGGACCAACTCTTCAGCAGCCTTCAAATTATCGAAAACATTTCCAAAAGTCAGCTTGTTCCATTCCTTCAATCCACTTTTCAATTTCGAAGCTTCAATGAAAAGCCCAACATGCCTTGAGCTTCAATAGGCTGCTCCCAATTCTCCTTCACAATCGCCAAAAATTCAGGCCGCCTCAGCCACATCTTCTGAAACCGAAAAACCTTCGGAGTTGATTCCTGATTTGAGTCATATTGGAGCAACATTGGACAATGATCAGAAGTTGTTTGACTCAAATTTTCAACCGAAAATTGCAATAACCATTCATGTGAGAGCAAAATTCTATCCAGCTTTTTACAAACCAAACCCGTATTCCTCATTCTACCCCATGTGAATTCATCTCCAGCCGTATTTAACTCATTAAGCTCACAGGAATTGATACATTCATTAAATTCATCAATAGCTCCATGATCTTGGACCGCCATTCTTGAGTACTCTGCCAAAGAGCTAATCACATTAAAGTCCCCACCAACAAGCCATGGCGAATTTGAATTATCTTGCTGAAAAGAAACAAGTCCAGCCCATAACTCACGCCTACCAATTTTCGTAGATTTCGCATAAACAGCACTAAGGAAATACTTATAATCCATTGCAACATTGCAAATTTCCAAGTGAAGATATTGCTCTAAATCTCTAACCACCTTATATAAGTGATCCGCCTTCCCAAAAAACCAAATTTTTCCAGAATCGGAATCCACATCATAATCGAATCCAAGAGCAATTTTAATTTCATCAACTTTACATTCTGCAACATCGGCTCAAGTAGAACCACAAATTTTACCGAGTGCATCTTAATCAAAGCTTTGAGATCCCTCTTTCCGAATTCCTCTTACATTCCAAATGATTGCACTAATCATAAAATATTTGGATAAGAGATTTATAAGAACCGAGGGGAATGCCTTGGAATAAGGCCTTCCATTAATTTGAGTGTCTCCTCTTTGGTCTTTTGCCTTCGATTTGTTGTAACTGTAATAAATTCATCCTCAAAATGGGCTTCACCTGTCTCTCCTTCATACCAACGCTCTGTTTGCTCTCCAATTTCTTCTAATTCAGCTGAATTTATATCAATACAGCCTTCCTTATTCAAATAAAGCTTCTCTCTACCATGAGTTGCTGAATTCATCAAGGGGGAATGTGATTCTGGAAGCGGGGGAATAAATTCTGAGGAAATCTTTATCATTACAATCCTTAGCAACAACCTCATCCTCCTCATCATCTTCATCATTACAATCCTTAGAAACAACAGCAAGAGTATCATGTGGAACTTCAGAATTGGCCGTGCTGACAGCGCACTGTGGCGAAACAGCGTGCTGTTTCTCTTGCACATCAACAGCTTCAGCTCTTTGGTTTTCTTCTGTACTACTGACAGCGCGTTGTGACGAAAAAGCGCACTGTGACGAAACAACGCGCTGTCTCACCTGCACATCTTCATTCACTTCTGCACTACTGAAACAACAGCTGTTGATCGTGCAAATCGTCAACAACTTCCAATACTACATGTTGGGCGCTTTTCCACCTGCATCCACATTTGTATACTGCTACTTCTTTTGCCTTATCATCAACTGCAGATTGCAGAGTGACCAAGCTTAAGTTAGATTTCTCTGGAACAATTTGGCTTTCCGACTTTATAGTCCCGCCATCTATGTCAACCACAACACTATTCTTTTCCTCTCTAGTTAACCCTGAGGTTGAGGCTTCTTTCTCCACTACAACACTTCGATTTTCGTTTGCAGGATTCGGTTGCCATTTCGGAGGAGTAGGCTTAGGCAAAATAAATTTGACTTACTTAGCCTTGCCTTTACCCACATCCTATAAAGTAGTTTCCAAAGCTTGCTCGTCATTTTTCCCCTTAGCATCAGTTTATTTCAACTGCTTATTCTGTTGTGGAACAACAATCTGCTGACTTTTCAATTTCCTACATGCAGAATCCTTATGTCCAATCTTGTTGCAATTCGTACAATAAGAGGGAACATACTCATTTGTGAAAAAAATGCTCCTGTTTTTTTCCCTTTTTCCCAATGCGAATGGATTTCGGCAGCTTCTTAGTCAAGTCCACCTCCACGCAAAAACGCGCGATGGACGGTCTAGTCAAATTCATGGTTGGCGCATCAACTTGGAGAGGTTTTCCTTTGGCAGAAGCCATTGAATATAATATAGACAGATGTGTCCATTCCAACGGCAGTTCTTGCATCGAGACCCAAATCGGGACAATCGGCGGATCTTTTTCAAACTTAAAACCTGGCCTCCACTTGAGAATTCTCATTTGGGAGCCTCCAATGTCCCAAATCGAGCCAATCCACCACCTTTGGTAGTCCTCCTAAAGATCAAAACGTATGCAAACATGGCGCGAATTCATGAGTCCAAGATCAAAGGACCCCTTGAAGCCAATTTTCTTGAATTCAGCACGAACTTCTTCCATCTTCGGTCTTCTGTACGAGAACTTACCAACCAACGTCATGAGATGCGGTGCAATTAAGACCTCAAACTCATCATCTTCGTATTCCAATTCTGGAATACCATTGAAATATTGAACCTGTTTAACTCCGGGGGTTGATCCAGTAGGGTTCGAAACTTGAGCGATTTGGTTGTTGTTTTTTTTGAAATAGGCTTACGAAGGTTCTCGATGACCCAGTGGGGGCCATCGGTGGTGTATCTCCGGCCATATTGGCCGGAAATTGAGGTGCGGCTGCTAGGGTTTGCTGGTTGCTAAAGAGAGCGCGGGGCCGATAGGGTTTAGAGAAATTTATTTGTCTATTTCTCTCTGTTCAGTTTCCTTAAGCCTGGTTTTTAATCTCTTGAGTTTCCAGACAAGCTCAAACATCTTCGTACCCCCTTTCTTCTATCTTCCAGTTCTCTTCCACCACTTTCAAAAATTTGTTATCCTGGCACCACATATTAAAGAGTTTGAAGGAGACTGGTTATTTAATTCTTTCTTCATCTACCTGGATAAACATGGGTGAGTGATCAAAGATGCCTGCCTCCATGGCTGTTCCAATTGAGTTAGGAAACTGTGCTATCCATTATTCATTCACCATAACTCCATCTATCCTGGACCAGATTCTTGCTTCACCCATTTGCTTGTTGGTCCATGTGAGTGCACATCCTTGCTGTTTTAAATCCTATAGTTCACATTTCTCCACACACCTTTGCAGGCCTTGTATTTCAGTGAGACAGACATTATTTCCCCCAATCTCTCCTCTGTCTTCAATACATTGTTGTAGTCACCCACATCAACCCAGGCACTTGAGACAGATTTAGATATGGGGATCAATTCCTCCCATATCTCTTCTCTTTCCAGTCTAAGATTAGAACCATATATGGCAGTACAAAAGAAGTTCATTTTCCTACTTACTGCTTCTACCCAACAATGCACATATTGTGCCCCTTATATTACATGGACTTTTCACATACTAGGTTGCCACAAAATACATATTCTCTCCCTATTACAGAATTGAAAGTTTACAATGTATTCATACCCATGCCAATATTTCCTTACCACTTCATCTATATTACTGCTAGTCATTTTAGTTTATACTATAACCATCATATTAGCTTGATGTATACTACGTACTCTTTTTAGTTCTTCTGCTTGTTAGGGCTGTTTAGGCACCTAATATTCCGGTGAAGGAGATTATACATGTATACCTAGGTCAATTGGTGTTCCTCTCCTAGCCTTCTCCTTGTTCTGCTCCTCTGTGAGGTGATCCATGCATGTACTGGTGCTTGCTTCCTGTTGCATCTCTTCATCTGCATCTTTAAGGATAGTATATCTCCTTGGTGACACTTGTCTTTTCTCTTTGGCTTTTCCTTTCAAATTGGTCTCCACGGTTGTCACCTCTTGTAGTTCATCAGGATCTGGTACTTCATCAGGAATCATTTCTATTCTCTTTTTCTTCCCCACTATTTGCCACTGCTGCGTTTTTGCAGTATTGATCAGCCCTTCTATTTTCTTTTTATCAACTACTACCACTTCCTGAGCTTTTTTCCTACACACTTCTGCACCATGGCCGTAGTTCTTGCAATGCGAACAGAGTGTGGGTCTCCACTCGTAGTACACAGACTGCTCTAGAACATTTCCATGCTCATCCACAAAGTGTGCTACCCCTGGAGGAAAGTCATGTATTTTCACATCTACTAACACTCTAGGAAAATTAGCTCTATCCTTAGATGTTTTACAACTATTAGCTGCAATAGGACACCCCAAAGTGCTAGCAATTCTACCCAATGTAGCGGGATTCCAATATTTCAACTCAAGACCATGAAATTGCACCCATACAGGAACATGTTTAATCTCTTTATGATTAAGTCCTTTTTCTACATTCCTGGGTTTCACTATAACATGGTTCGTACCTAGGTATGTAATTGGTTCCTTTAAAGCTTCCTCAGCGTCATTTATAGATTTAGACCGAATTACATAGAAACCATTAGGTAAAACTAGTATCTTATCAACTCCAATGTGCTGCCATGTCTTCCGGTAGTAGTTATCCATTACTTTGTAAGGTGGGTTAGCACCTAAGACAAAACTGAATACCGAGGACTGCCAATATTCAATCTCTGGTGATAAGTCACGCTTTAGTACCATCGTTACCTTCTTCCCATCCCTTTCCACTGGTTCTACATAATCCAAAGGGACCGCAACATTTCTGAATTGCTTGGCATTAAATGTCTCCCAACCCCGATGTCGGCTTTGGGTGCTCCTCTGCCTTCGCCTTCGACCAATTGAGTTTTCTTGCTATGTTGACCCCTAGCAGCTCACTCAATGTCCCTTTTTTTTTGCTTATCCAAGCTTTGCTCTTCTTCAGATTTAATCCCTCCTCTTTTATCCGTCTTCATTTATTGCCCTGTGACAAGCTAACCTTAGTCTCTATATCTATTGTTCCTTTCTTTCCTTTGCTTAATTCCTTCGGTGATTCATCTTTCTCATCAAATTCTGACTCGTGGACTGCATTTTTAGTGCCCTTCTTCACTTTCTGCTTCCCCTTCACCATTGCTCACGTACGTTAACCGAGTGGGTCTTAACGTGCACCGAGAGAGGAAATAGAGAGAAAAAATTTTTTTCGTTTACTTTTAACATTAAAAAATAACTTAAGATTAATAATTTTAATCTCTAACTATGCAAAAAGACTAATAATAGCAAGTCATTTAATGACCACCTTTTTTCTTAGTTTGTGGTTTTTGATAACGGTTAAATTGTAATATAAAAGCAATACAATTTACTCTCTAATTAGTTGAAAATTTGGGGGTGCTTCTTAGAATTATTTCACATTACTTGGTAAGTTTTATGTTTTTGTGAAGGGATGGACCTGAGTGAACAAGTGATGAAAATTGGGGGCTTATGGAGCAATAATTGGGCTGCTGATTTCAGAATTATGGAGCATGGGTTGAGCTGGTCAAAAAGTAACTCCAAAACACAAGATACATTGGGGGTTGACAAAAGGTATTCCACACTAGAAATTAAAGAGCATGCTTGTCCCATTGAATGGAGAACTAGCCACCCACATTGAACAATGCTGCTGCTGATACCATTGCTGGAAGAATGAGCAAGAGACCAGTCAATTTGGGGTCCAAGACACAAAGCATTGGGGAAATAAAAAATTACACAAGTATGGGATAACTCTCTAGGGAGAGGAACCGGAACAAGGCTCTATAAAAGGAGTGGAGCTGTACTTCCAGGAAATCAATCCATCTTTGCTCTCTTAGTCGACTAGAGCATACAGAGAAACTCTAGAAGGAAGGCAAGAGCAAGGAAGAACAACAACAACTCAACAAAAGGCAGAGTTGAAGGACAGTCAGCCCAGTCACTGGTTCACTCTCCTGAGTGAACTTTGTCACTCCCAGGAGTGACACCTTGAATTGAATAGGCTGTCTTCTTCTCTTAACTGTTAGCTTGTATTTCATTTCATTGATGCATACTTCTATGATGTCTGTTGAAGTAGTAGCAGTAGCATCAACTAGTATGAGTAGCTAAATAGCTTCCAGGGGTTAACCTCCTCGACCTATGTTGTAGAGTTCTATGTTTTGAAGTTGAAAGTATTTGTACATTCAGTTACTTGATCTATAATTGAATGCATGTTAGAACTAAGGGAAATCTGGAAGAATAAACTTGGTTTGGATTATTTCAACTTCAACTTATGACATAGAGGTAACAATCTATGGTTTTAACTAAGATAGGAATATACTTAGTTGACATGAGCATTCATATAAGCTTGAGATCTGAATGACTTTATAACTGGACTCAATCATTGGAAAATAGATTGTTAAAGTTACAAAGATGACTCTAGGAAAAGTGGGAACTGACTTAGAGTTACATCTGAACTGAATGAACATGAACTTAACCATTAAAGTGCAATTTACAACTGCTGCAACAGGAAGAGGAGATGAACTTCCCTGGTCTGTACTCCCCTGAGTGAACGTTTTCATTCCCCTGAGTGACACCTTGTCTGACTGGTAGTCTGTTAACAACAAATTAGGTGATTTACCTGTCCTCGTGGGATCGACCTCGCTTCCATTATCTACAAAAATTATAATCTAGCTAGTATTTATTTTTGGTGAATTCGGCACACACCAGAAAGTGGCGCTGTTGCCGGGGACGGCGTAAAACCGCCATTTTTTTGTTTTTATTCTTCCATTAGTGAATAATCATTCTCTGGTAATTCCCTTGAGCTTCTCTAGTTTTTTTTCTTTGGTGTATGACTAGAAGGCACCAACGAAGTGAACCAGTTTTTGATCCGGAAATTAAAGCTACTATAAGCAGAGCCAGAGCAGAAAAAAGAAAGCAACATCGGTTGCAGCATAACCGCCAAGAAAGTTCATCAGAAATGGCTAACCTAGGTGGTAACCCGGAGAACAATAGGAACCCTGGCGGGGATCGACAAAACCAACCTGAGAGATTGCTCAGAGATTTCTTTATTCCACAACAAGAAGAAGTCCAATCCCCATTACTATTCCCTGATGTGGAGGCAACCAATTTTGAGTTAAAACCACAAATGATCCAATGGACTCAGTCAGCCTGCCCACTCCATGGATTACCTCATGAAGATCCTAATGATCATATAAGAAGTTTCTTGCGTTTATGCAGTACTTTTAAGATTCAAGGCTTATCCAATGATGACATTAGATTGAGGTTATGTCCTTTTACTTTGCAGGATCACGCCCAAGCATGGTTCAACACATTGCCCAACAATTCTATCTCCACGGCAAGAGTTAAGACACGGCTTCCTTACAAAGTTTTTTCCACCTGCAAAAGCTGCACAACTCAGAACTACAATAATGAATTTCAAGCAGCATGGAACGGAAACACTCTATGAAGCATGGGAAAGATTGAAGGAAATGATCAGGAAATGCCCTTAGCATGGTTTGGAAGAGCACCTCCAACTGAGCATCTTCTACAATGGTTTGCTACCAGCCACAAGAGACTCCCTTGATGCTGCAGCCGGTGGTGTGTTCATGATAAAGCCGGTTGATGCAGCAAGGCAGTTGCTTGATAATATGACCACCAATCATTCAAGGGGCAATCTGATCCAAGAGCAAGTACAAAGCAGCCATGAGTGATGGAACTTGACCCCAGTACACACCTGCAAGCACAGATGGCTGTGATGATGAATGAGATGACAAAACTGAGGAGTGAGCTATCCAAATCCAAGGCTGAAGTATGTGTGTTATGTGATGGATCTCACAATTTGGATAACTGTTCCTCCGAAATGGAACCTGTCTAGTTTGTTAGGCAGGGCAATGCTGGAGGATTCAACAGCTTCAATAATTGGAGAAATCAGCAGCACCCCAACTGGAATAATGCACCCCAACAAGGAAACTATCAGAGGCCTACCCAACCCCCAGGATTTCAACGACAAGACTGCCAACCTCCCAATTATCAGAATCAACAGCGTTCTAATCAGCAATATATACCAAGGGAAGATGAATGGATTTCTGTAAGAATGCAATTAAGAATTTGGCTGTATCTTGCAAGAGTCGAAAAAATTAGTTGGCTCATATTACAAAACAGAATGCTGAAAGACCATCTGAAAGTCTACCAAGTGATACAATTGTCAATCCCAAGGGAAATGATCAAGAGCAAGCAAAGGCTATCACTCTTAGAAGTGGAAAACAGCTCACTCAGCCAAGTGAAAAAGTCACTCCCGCGAGTGACCCTGCCGGTAATAAGGAAACATCTTCTGAGAAAAGATCTGATGATGAACATTTGGTTGAACAGGAGCAATCATTGGAAAAACCTGGAATGGAGGAAATCAAAATCCCAGCACCAAGTCAAAAGCCACATGAAGCAATACCACCATATCCAGTAAGACAGAAGAAGGCCAAGGTGGATGAAGGGCTCAACAGGTTTATTCAAAATTTGGAAAGCATACATATCAATGTTCCACTTGTTGATTCACTTAAACAAATGCCTAAATATTTCAAGTACTTGAAAGATCTGGTTGCTAATAAACACAAGTGCATGATTCTGCTTTTATTACTCTAAATGAAGAATGCAGTGCAGCTATTCTAAGAAAACTGCCACCTAAACTAAAAGATCCAGGTAGTTTCACTCTTCCTTGCACTGTAGGAATCAGAGAATTTTCGAAAGCATTGCTAGATCTTGGTGCAAGTATAAATCTCATGCCATTGTCTGTATTTAAATCGCTTGATTTGGATAAATTTTTGGTACCTACTAACATGACATTGCAGTTGGCAGACAGGTCATTAACCTATCCAAAGAGAATTTCACATGATGTTCTTGTGAGGGTTGGGAATTTTGTTTACCCAGCAGATTTTGTGGTTTTGGAGATGGAAGAAGATAGGGATGTGCCCATCATCTTATGGAGACCTTTTCTGGCAACAAGTGATGCAATCATCAAGGTGAAAAAAGGGAAAATCACACTGCACTTCGATCGGGAGAAAGTCACCTTCAACATCTTCAAAAACATGAGATATCCTGCCGAAGTCCATAACTGCTATATGGTGAAGAGTGTAGAAGTGGCAGAAGAAGTGCTACAAGATGAACTCCTCAAGGAACTCTTGTGTCCAGACAGCAGTGAAGAACAGGAAGGGGTGGATGAGTACAGGCTCACTTGCCTGAGTTACTTGAACCACTCCCCCAAGTGGCATCCTAAACAACAACCCTTTGAGCTGTTGGACATGACTAAGGAAGGAAGATGTCTCAAGCCTTCAATTGAAGAGCCACCTTCTCTAGAGCTTAATCCTCTGCCTTCACATTTGAAATATGCCTATATTGGAGCAAGTAACACTTTACCTGTGATTATTTCTTCTATGCTTACAGGAACTGAAGAGGATAAGTTGCTAAGGGTGCTGAAGTTGCACAAAGAAGGCATTGGATGGTCAATTGCAAACATTAAAGGCATCAGTCCTTCTATCTGTATACACAAGATTCTACTTGAAGATGATGCCAAGCCAACCATTGAAGGACAAAGAAGGCTCAACCCGGTCATGAAAGAAGTGGTAAAAAAGGAAATTATTAAGCTACTAGACGCTAGAATCATCTTCCCAATATCTAACAGTAAGTGGGTGAGTCTAGTTCAGTGCGCGCCCAAGAAGGGAGGAATAACAGTAATAAGGAATGATCTCCAGGAGCTGATCCCTACAAGGCTGAATAATGCGTGGAGAGTGTGCATGGACTACAGAAAGCTTAATAAAGCTACTAGAAAAGACCACTTTCCACTTTCTTTTATTGATCAAATGCTAGATAGATTGGCTGGATTCATGTATTACTATTTCCTTGATGGTTTTTTAGGTTATAACCAGATTGCCATAGATCTTGATGATCAAGAAAAGACGATGTTCACCTGCCCCTATGGCACATTTGCCTTTAAGAGAATGCCATTTGGACTATGCAATGCACCTACAACATTTCAAAGATGTATGATGGCCATTTTCTCTGATATGGTAGATAATATAATTGAGATCTTTATGGTATCATCTCAGTCTTTGGCAAGTCGTTTGATGCATGCCTCGAAAATCTTGGACTCATACTGAA